TACATCTCCTGGCCATTTCTTTAGCGTCCGTCTTCATTTTCGGCCAGAAGTAACCTACTCTTAAGATTTTTGTGACCATGGCTCCAGCTTTGCTATGATCACCACAGCATGTAATATCCCGATATTTTATCGGTATAAATTACGTTTTAATTCTGATATAATAATGTTATCGTTTAATATTTTCGGAATTAATTATGTTCAGTCGAAATTACCGAAATTTATTTTCGACGTACCGTTTACGTTCGGAATAATTTTGGTAATTAAGCATTATGTTTAATTTAATAATTAAACATAATTTAAAGGATTAATTAATAATTAATCCTTGAATTAACATTAAGCCGTCCCAAATCTCTAAGGATATGTTAAGCCGTGCCTTACAAGTACTTATGTTCTAAATTGCACACTACTTTTCCTAAGCCTTAAGGACTCGTTTCCCTTCCATTTATTTAGCATTACACGTGTGTTAAGGAGATTAAAAGGGAGAGGATTACTCATTCAATCTTAATTTGTGAAGGAGCAAGTGGCAAAAGCTTGGGATGGCCACGCACTAAGCACATCATTTTCCCCTCCCCATCGGCCATGTATATAAGGAGTACTTGAATCAAATTTTTTTCCCCAATTTTCCTATAGCAAACTCTCAGCATATTCCTCCTTAAGCATACCTCTATATTCAGCAAGCTAGTTCCAAAAATTTTCATCAAACACGCACGGCAAAGATGACATTAGCGCACGGCACACGCAAGGACAAGAAGCACGCCCTATTTTTTCCAATTCAGTCGAGCGATTCAAGAGGTAACGTCCTCCCCATCTTGTATTTACGTTGATAAGGTCATGTTAAGGTGCAATGTTCGGATCATATTCGAAAATTTCTAGGAAAGTCATGCTTTAGGTCGATCATGCTTAAGTAAGATCACGACCGAACAACTTTCGATTTTTCCCAGCAACTCTCGAACTGTTAATGTCTAATTATTCAGCTTAGTTTATTTCATGTTCAATAAGTTCAGATTAGTCGAAGTCAAGTGAAGTTTTGTCGATAAATTGGCCCAAGCCGTCGCTAGCGCCTATCGCGCGTAGCCACGGGCGGCCGCGGTCCATGTCTTAATGATTTCAGTAACGATCATATTTGTCCGTGTGTTTATGTTCTAAATTGCCTCAAAGTAAGGTTCATGCTAAGTTGTTCTGTAGTTGCCGTGGAAAAAGGAGTTGTGGCCGAGAGACGGCGTATAG